AAAAAAAGCAAGGCAATCAGCTCGCTGTTCCCGCTTCCATTCAATGTTGTACCGAAGTGATAATTATTTTCGGAGAGATTTCAGGTTCCGTCTCACTGAACCAGAACCCCAGACGTCGGGACACTCGCTAACACCACCGCCAAGTCAGCCGCCAAGTACGCCGTCTGGCTTGGCCATGGCAGTGAACGAAGCCAGCGAGACGCCCACCCAGCGGACTGGGGGCGAGCATTTGCGGGGAAGGGAGTCAAGGGACGCGGAGGCAGAAGATCCACCTTGGTTTTCTGAGTGCCGAAACAACGGACATTCTCTTTAGGCAGCAGATCTTCCAACTCTTATCTTCACTTCATCAAAACTTGTCCAAGATACCGTAAACTTTTGGTTGACCAGCGTCCTTCCTCAAGTCTTCGATCGAAGAAGAAGACGAGAGTCCGAGCCCCTGGAAGACAGTACCTAATTATCTTTCGAGAAAGAAGAAGGAACAGTCTGTCTCTCAACCTGTTCGCTTTGATTTACCTGCATTCCAACCAACGCCTTGGCAACGCCGATGTTTGCCCTGCCCAAAGAAGCCGCTCCTGGGCTGACATTTCGTCGGGGCCATGTGCCACTTGGGCCAGATTCTCGATAGTTTTCTCGTTGTTGTCGTCACTCCCTGTTGTTGTGAAATGTGATTGCGGGGCATCCGGAAACGGGTTGATCTTTCTTTCACAGAATCTCCATGGCCAACCACTCAGAGTCTAGGGATGGTTATTCCATTCCCGCCAAGAGATCCTTCTCTCGTCATTTTCTCCTCTTGAAATGCCTATTACTTCATCCTCCCGAGGTAGTCATCGCGATTGATCGGAACTATCAGCCTTTTTCATGAGGGGTCCTATCAGGCCGCAGTACTGTGCGGCAGCCCGCCCAAGGGATGTCGATGCGAGCCTTGCACAGCGTTGAGAATTAATATCGACTGCATGAACAGCCGTCGGAATTTCCTTTCGCGGCGTTTCTTGCAGTCTTGTGCAGCCGGTCTTTCCCGCCCTTTCGGGACGCAGTGCCAATGGGGACAGATCAGATTCTGTCCCCATTATCTGGAGCCGATCTTGCGATCTAGACCCCGACCTTCCCTTTGAGGCTCAACTCTTTTGCATCTCCAACCCGTCGGGCTCAACAGATCGGTTGTCCCTCAGCAAAACACGGCAAGCCGGTACTGCAATTACATCCCCCGACTGGTCACCTTGTCAACCCACCCGATCATGTGGCTGGCAACATTGAACTGAACTATCTTGTCACGACTATGCTTGTGGTCATGCTGTGTGCCACACTAAAGTCCGTCTCATTCAGTTTACCAGATCAAGCAGGGTTCGCAGTGTTTTGCGTCCGAGAGTGATTCTGTTCAAAGATTGCGCATCTCCTTTGAACCTTGGGACAGAACCTACCTGAATCAAGGGTCGATGACAACCCCAGTTGGTCTACCTGCCGGTGCAAGACAACTGGCAACTGGCATCCGCTGGATCGCATTCAATGACGCCGCGCTACCCATCAACGCTGTGCAACACCATCGATAGACCACTCGCTTGCCGGTTGTTTTTGCATTTTCACGGTTTCTTTCGTTCCGCCAACCGGGTCACGGGGATGCACCGCGTGTGTTGTGCGCGTCTGACAGCCACCGATGATCCCAGATTTCATTGGCAGGTAACGGCTGCAGGGCTGACAGCCAGCAAGCAGTGTTATCATGATGCTTCCGAGTTATTATCTTTTCTTCCGACGCATCCTTGTTGAGCGTAATATGTACATGCCTGATAACAAATTCTTTTGAAAGAGTTTGAACGAGCTATCTGAGCCTCGAAACACAAAGTCGAAATCCAAATATTGAAGGGCGGGAGAGCTTTTCAATACTTGCATGAGTTTATTCTGTCAATTTGATGACTTCAATCTCCACCCGAGGTTAAGAATGATCCAAACCTCCAGCCTTGGAGCTTACATTAAACACAAGCTTGCGAGGGGCACAAGAGCTTTAACCCGGCCACCTCATAACGTTGAAAAAAAAAGCCCTGACTGGCAATGAGAAGATATGAAAACTCTTCCTATAGACTTTGCAAGCATTTGCACAATTTTGGGTAGGTACGGGCAGGTTGATTGCTACCATGAACAACAGCATAAAGTTACTGCAAAAATGAAATGATCCCGCCAAAGCCATGTCGATATGCAGTAACCAAACTTTCATCCTTGATGTAGACATGAAAGCTGATGAGAGGCGATGATGCCCTGCCCAACGACCTGAATTTCGGCAAGTTCATACTTCACAAGGCATTACTTCTGTAAACACGCGTGCACTCATACCTTCGTGAGCAGGCTATTCCAGCCCGAGGCGTGGTGATTTCCACAGGAGTCGACTATAAGATAACAGAGCAATTATAAGAATACCGATGGGAATGCATCTCATAAACATATTGATATGTGTTTTCACATCTAGGTATGGTTTATGAAAGAAAATTACAACGCATGAAATGTTTTAACAAATGTATTTCGCTCAAAATTCAGGACATACTTTTTCTTTCCGAATCCCATCAATTCAAAGATATTCATGTTAGTTTAGAAGAGCCAGGCTATCACTGACATAAGTACACGCGCATCAAACGTATATCAAATGTCTTTCACAATTTCAGTGCCGGAGTGCAATTGAGTAAGGTTATCGCGACTGCTCAAATCAATCTACCTGCCCATTTCCGTCTCATCTCAAATCGTCCAATTCTGGCAAGAACGACCAGAGTTTGGCAGTAAACGATGGCGGTACACGATTTCTCATGGCTTTCGCAAGGCCGGCGGTGTTACCTTGATTCATGACTAAACAGGCCACAAACACTGTTTCAAATACATCAACAGTCTTTTGCATCAAGTTTATCTCAATTCCATCCCCAAAATCTCGGCAATACCACAGTCATTCTCAGAGGAAACCGAGGTTCAAGAGCAACTGTGGCCTACCAAACTCCGAATGACTCGTTCAACACCACCACTCGCTCACGACGACGAGATTCCAACATGGAATCGGCTTTTCAACCTCCCAGACCCACTCCGTCGGCCCTCGGGAAGCGTAAACTGTAAGTGATTGTCATTCAGGCCAGTGAAAGCGGCCTCGCTGATTATTCAGGCCATGACATACATGTCCCCTCCCCGGCTGCGTATTCTCGGTTGTCCAAGACGAAATCTCCGGTGGCGCAAAGCTCCCAGTAAAACTCATCCCCACTTGCGCACAGCGTTGAACTTTACAGTTTGATGATTTCTTACTGATTCTCAATCTCTGCCATGCACCCTTTTACTAACATCTTTTGCATCAGGACTCCGACCATGGCAGACGAGTATCCCGTACACCGTCAAAAGACCTTTCGAGAGACGCGTCAAGCGAGGATGTTGAGCAATCTATCTCCTCTTGCGCGCTCTCTGCTGAATGGCGAGGTCGACTACGCACTTGTTTCGACGGAGGGTGTCACTGCCGATATCCCAGATTACTCAGGACTTCCCATAACACTATCCGATCCAGAGCCAGATACCTCCGGCCTCCCCATTCCCCCCTCCGATGAATCCTTCGATGAACCAAAATACTATGGACCTTCCTTGCATGGACACTGCGTCGATGTACCCTTCACAGGCTACAAGGAAGACGACAAAGACTTCATTAAAGACGATGATGAACCCTCCGCCGAACCGGGCCCCCGCGAATGGGGTATGCACGACTGCCTTGGTCATCCAACACGTATCACGGGTGTAGCTCCCCCACTCCGACTAGAGGAGCCATTTCTTCCCGCCAGGTTCAGCTCCGAATGGAAGTTTTTCGATTCTAGCAAAGAGCTAGGCCACGCTCATATCCTGGACCTCGATTATTTCTCGCGGACCACAGACCCCTCTACGTTTCGAGCATGTGACTGTATCTGCACCATTCTGTACCGCTTCAATCGCAGGCTTGCCCAGTATTTCTTTGCCCATAACGATCGCAACGGGGCTTTCATGAGGCTCCTCATTACCGACAAAAGATTCCACAAAGCTGGGCTCCCGACGTGGATCTTGAGCCGCCGAGAGAACATAATCCACGTATGAACCCCAAGCACTTTCTCTTCCCCTCCCATTTACCGCCCCAGAATTTCCAGACAGACCGCTGACTTGTAAACTTTGAACAACGAACAGATAGAAAGCTATTCGGCGTCCTCCGACGATGAAAGCCTCAGCTACCAAGCCGAGGTCGTAAAAGGCGGCAGGTGTGAGTCCATTCCCGACGAGTTTCGCCCTAAGGCGGCAGCGAGCGACGAGGAGGAAATAGGTGCGATCCTTGGGCGAAGTCTTGTGCTCGAGAAACCCTGGGACTACAAGCCTTATCATCAAATCAATATCTTTGTCGAGGCCGGCAAGGTGCACCGCAACTGGCCGGGCCGTAAGCATATTATACCGCCCTTGGAGTCAGAGAGGAAAGAACGCGCAAGGTGGCGGGGATACAGGACGGGTGTTGTCGAAGGGGATGGTGTCGGGATTGTTGCGCGAGATGGGCGTTATATCAGAATCAACTGAGGTCACGCGACTAGGCATCTGCTTGGTTCCAGGTTGCGTACAAAGTTGGCGTGATAGGGCGTTGATGGTGCAACCAGCGTTATGTGGTTGGTATTTTAGAAAATAGTTTTTGTCTGCAGCGACAGTCTGAGTTCTCGGGCAACAACAAAGAATATAATAAACACTCCTTGCACCTTATGGATTGTCTCTACGGCCTTGAAACCCACTTGAGCACAGGTATATTGTAGGGCTATGATGAGAAATTATAGCGATGTACATGTTTTGGTATGTGGCTTTAGAACGGACCAAGTTAGTAGACGTTCATAGGAAAAGATTACGGTAGAGAAAACGTCGTGGAGATGATTCATAAGGTGCAAGCGGAATTTCTCAAAAAAAAAAAAATTTTTAAAAAAAAGGAAGAAAAAAAGAAAAAGAGAACCAGAGCAAAAAGTAAGGATGGAGGAGAAGTGTGATGCTAGATATGCCCCCACGCGGGATTGAACCGCGGACCTCATCATTTCCGTAGTGTTAAATGGATGGATTCCAAACATGTTACGAGTGATGCGCTCTACCACTGAGCTATACGGGCTTTTGGGGTGATGGTTGGCTGCATCAAGAAGTGACTCTAACTCTTCTGAGTTGCAGGGGCAAACGTTTGAAGAGGCCATGTCATGCTTCTGTCGAAACTTCAAACGGGACGCCTGCCTGAACTAATACTATCCAGGTAGGTCCCATATTATATACTTTAAAATGTGTATTATTGTGGTATTTCTAGAAGAATTGGCAGGTCACAGGGACTGTAGTACTTGGTTGAATGATAAATTAATTCTAAGGTAAGGAAGGAAGAAGATCCTACGTGTGGAAAGAGATCTGTGGTGGGTGTTATACCCAGTGGCTAACAAAGTAGGGATCTTCGTCAAAGGCCTTACAGTAGGTGAATGGCCATTGTAGTGGTTGTTGTTGAGCTTGCAGAGCTAAGGAAAGATAAGAAGGAGAGGGCATGCCATGACAATTATCTTGTTTATGCTCACCAATTTAGAAGACCCGACTGCAAGAGTGTGTTCGGTTCAGTGTGATGATGGAATAAATCCGAATGGGCGTTGTGGATCCCCACACGCCCCTTTTGTTGGCGTTCTGGGGTCCACTCCACTAGCACACGTACAATCTTTTTGTCTATCATTCTTAATGCATTGCCATTGGTGTCTTTACATTGTGACATTGTGCTTCTTTCTTTTCCAGTGAACCTTCTTTTACATGCAGACAGAGTTTTGAGCTGTGTTTGCTGCTTCCCTCAACCACTGGCAGAAGAAAGAGGACGGACGTGTTTACTTCCAGCTGAGCCCACCAGAAAAGAAAGGGGTTAAGCTCCCGTTGGAAAACAAGGGTTGGGGTTAGACGTGCTTAATAATTCTGGGATGGGTGAACATGAAATATTATATCGCGGGAGGTGTTTAAAATGTGAGTGAGGAGACAGGAAGAAGTTTCGTTACTATATATATATATATATATATATATTATTATTGTTCTTACACCGTGGGAGGCCTTGCCTCCATCCCAATGGGATAAGCGGTCCCTCTACAACTATTTTAACGCGTAAGCGAACTAA